AAGTTCAAGCCTGCTCTTCAGTACATTTTATGGCGATGACAAGTGGACTGACGCCGCCCTCTGCAGGGGAAAGAGTGATGGCACAATCGGCGCGGCGGAAAGAGAGGGGAATGGTCAGAAGTGAATTCGTATTCACGTGAGCATGTAGGCAGTGCGCTCATCATCTGTTACACAACCCTGAGCCAGCGGTGGAAATTCCACATTTGTATGGCAGGAGTGAGGCTGTCTAAAGGACAACCACTGCTGATTTCCCCAGAAAGTGGAACTTATTTTATTAACCCTGGAGGGATGATGGGTTGAGTCAATCCCCTAGCTAGTGTTCTGAGTGGTTGAGCCACTTGGAACACATAAGATATATATTTTAAAAAAATGACATATGGATGAAGGAATGCTTTAACCTTTGTTTACTGAAAAAAAAACATCTTAAGCTGTGAACATTATTAAAGATGCCAAGAAATGTTTGCTTTCTCTCAAGATTCACATTTCAAATTGTTTATATATTTTTTTTACAGTATGTGAAATTGAATTTCAGTAATGATCACATCACTCACAATTTTACCCGACAATTTCTGAACACTGGATTGATGTTATCTAATTTTTCTAAATGTCATTTCCCGCCAATGTGAGCAATATGACGGATAGGGGTCAAAGGTGGCGGCTGTTTTGATTGGATTCCTGGGGCAAGCTGCATGGGTCAGAGTGGAAAGGTCAAGGTGAGCTGATTAGCTGCCTGCGTTTTTTTGTTTGTTTTGCGGCTTCACATCTGATGTGCAAATGTAACCAACATGTTTTTTTTGTTCTCTTGCTCGTATTGAAATAGGCACGGAAGGGAATTCTTAATTTGTCCGTCAATCCATGGACCTTGTTTGTTGCTGTGCACAACGCACATGGGGCTGTCCTCGTTTTCATGAGCAGAACTCGACACGTTTGGCAATAACACCGTGGCCTTAAAAGGAAACGTATAATAGGTGATGTTTTGGGCAATGGTCCGTCTTTATAGCAAGTAAACAGAGAGGCCAGAGAGTGAATAATAAGATTTCGATTTAAAGCTTTCGTGACTGCACGAAAGCTTTAAATCGTCCTGACAGTTTTGTTCCTTCACCTGAAGAAGGCTACTTGTGTTGTGGCCGAAACGTCGTGAGAATTTTATTGTTTTATTTTATTATTTTATTCTCATTCTACATGACTTTACCGAAAGAACCAAAGAAGATGGATAATAAGAGTTGGAGACCGCACTGGGGCCTGATAAGAAAAGAAAAAAGTTCCTGATGAACAAAAATTATGAACATTTTAAAATTGGCACGTGAATAGTTATATCGATGAGACCTTTTTTGCCAGGATCAAAATGATGAAAAAAAAGGCTTTACCCTTTTTTGGCAATAAAACAGGTCTTAAGGTGTTCTAACACCAAATATATACCTAATGCAAGACATGAAGTCTGCATTAACCACACATACTTGTGGCAAAACATGCGAACAAACATGCTCTGATAATATATGGCATTGTCTTTGAAACTGATTGGCCTACTCCAGAGACAGCCTTCTTTATGGCCTTATCTCACCAGTGTGAGACCAGAGATTGTCAAAAGGCGAACAGTACAAACGCAATGCAGGTTTGAACACTTTAACACCTGTCTTATTTCCAGAAAGGTTAAAGCAAATTCTTATTATGCCAAGGTTAGGCCAACGTTCGGATGTGATTGGAACTGTGGGACCAACATTAGCCCAACATTCGTCCAAAGTTGAGAATTACATTTGCTGTGCTTGTCCACTACTGCCAACACGGTCACCATCCTAGAATCTCACCCAGAACTGGAAGAATGAGGACGTGCAGAATGAACACCTCCTCGTTTAAGTCCCAAACATCGTATCTCCTGGTTTTGAAATCCTCAAAGACACCACCAGTGGTGGAACCATTAACCGCATCAGAACGTCAACAGGCCGATGCGTGCATCTCCTCCGCAAACGGAAGATTCAGGACACAAGCCACAGAGCGACTTGTGGCCACGCAACCCAAACTATGGATCGTACAGTAAACCCGTAGAGACGCACAGAGATGCACTGAGACTCATAGGAACACACCACACATCCGATGTGCACGTTCGGCTACGTAAGGTGCTAAAGAAGTTAAGCATACAGAGACTCGGAGATACATTAGTGACAAGCGACGGTGTGATTGTGGCCATGCAATCCAAACTGTGGACTATTTAGTAATCCACTGTGGTCTGCGCTCCTTAAAAGGTAAAGGAGCAACAAACTTTCCCCCTCCTGAAGCCCTCTCGTCGTGGCCAGCAGCAGACCTCGACATTGGCATTTAGCTCCTAAACTGTCTGCTGCCGTACGTAAGAATAAAATCGTGAAAATAATTGTTACAAAAAAGTTTTTGTAGAGGCCGAGATGGACAGACGGGTCGTGGAATGTGCTTGTAAACTGAGAGCGACGTAAAAAAAAAAAAGCAGATAAGTGTGCTGCTGCTCGTTTTGCTAGCACAACCAGGTATCTGCTGCGGCCACATGGACCTCCCAGGTTCCTCAAGCACATTAAAGCGCGGCCCTCTTTGAACGTTCGGCGGCGGCCAACAAACGGTCGGTGTTACGCCGACTTTTGCGGGTCGGTGTCAAATCGACGCACGGGTCAGTGGGCACACGAACGGCAACGGCGACGATAGCTGTCAGCTCCGTTACCCAAACTCCGCAACAGTCGCGAGCCGTTGCCCCTGCCCTCATCCCCGGCCACCCCGCGACGTGGCACCGCACCCTTGGCGCGAGCGCGCGGACGGACGCGGCACCCGTGGGGCCCGTCGTTAAAAGTTTCCTTCGCGCGGACCCCCTGCGGCAAGAAGAGGTTTCGTCCGCCACCCTTAGCGGAAAGAGCAAAAGTTACAGGTTCGTAACGCGCGGCGCAAGTTCCCGTAGGTCCGTAGGCAGCGCGCAGCCAGAGCGTGCGAGGTTGGCGGGGGGGGGTGGTGGTGGGGGGGAGGGGGGCGGAGCGTGCAAATGAATCGCCGCCGAGCGGGTGCGGTGCGCGATTGCGCGGGGACAAGCGGCGGATTCTTGGAATGTTTGCGCCGGTGTTGACATCCCCCTACGGTTCCGCCGAGCCGAGTTCTCCGGGGGAGGGCGTGCGACGGAAAAAAACACCGCGGGGGAAAAGAATAGACGTGGCGCGGGTTGTTGTCAACGAGCGGCCGCAAAGCAACTGTTTGTGTCCAAGTGCTTTCCGTGCGTGCACCGAGAATCTTCGGCGCAAAATTAACGGGGGGAAGTTATCGTGAAGCGAGGGGCCGTGCTCGCCTGCAAGGTCGCCAGCTCACCGGCATTGCTACAAGCAAGCCTGACCCTGCTGATGGGGCACAGTTGTTTTGAAACCAGCCTAGAGTTTTTGCTCGTACGCAATCAATGCTGCATTGGTCAACAGCTTGTGAAGGCCGTGCCGGCCAGTTTGTGTTGAACTTTTGACCCTCAGGCTGTCGGCTATCCAACCATCGCCTTTGTTAATATTACAACACACACAGCCTTGCGGTGGGCAACCGACACGATTCTCAAAGTTACATCACCACCACTTGTTGTTGTCGCGATGCTGTTTTTCCTTATTTAGTTCGTATGCTTGACACGCTGATGGCACAGAGGCAATAGATGGAGAGCGGCGGTGCGGCGGGGGTTGTGCATCGCACTACAAAAAATCGGCGCCCGAGTTCCATTCCTGGCAAGGGCTAAAATCTAACATCAGCTGTGAGTGATATCTTCAACCCCGGTAATGGACCTCCAAACAACCCCCCACTCGTGCCCCACCACCCACACTGACCAGCATGGTGAAGTATGGTCAAACGATACCAACAAGCAATCACGGCGTAGGGAGTCCCTCATCCAGCAATGGATTGACAGCGTGGGGTACACGTGCAATTTTTAACCATGGGTTATTCGTAGCTGCTCGATATATAGCTTCATGAGGGCAGTGTTACATTGGCTGCCCGTTTGTATATTCCGTGCGTTTTAGGAAGCGTGTGAAATTTTGGCGCGACCATTTCACCGCAGTGTTGCAGTGCTTCGGGCGTTCAATTGTTGCTCGTTGAGTCTCAAGTGTTGCCCGTTTTTGAACGTGGGTCAACTCTCCTTGCACCTCTGTTGCGTGGAACGCAACAGCTTGGCCCCCACTCGTTAGCGTTCGTCGGCGTGCACGTTCGTGTATCTCTCCATTAGCATTTTGATCTGATCTTACATTTCGGAGAGCGTTACTTGCCTGTTATGTTTGTCAGTTCACCAGCATTGATCGCTCGCAAGCCTGACTGCTGATGAGACACTGTCATGTTGAAAACCAGTGCCGTGTTTGGCCAATGAGTTGTAGAAATTTTTTTATTGAATTTTTGATGTTGAGAGGCACCTATGAAGCAGCCGTATGAACGAAAAACGCAGGGTTTTGTAGCTGACACAATGGTGCAGATTTGTTTTTGTTTTTAATCGGCCACGGAGTCGTGCTATGCCAAAACTATTGTAAACGCAACATAACAATTTTGTCGGGTGGTGGAGGGTTACTGACAATAATTTTGGCTTAAATGTACCCCGTGGGCTAACCCAAAAAGAAGTATCGACCTAAAAGACGCAGTGTCTGCTCATCCATTCTGTTACTTGGATTTCCGTTGTATGTTGAATTTCTTTCGCACCATACGTAGCCAACCATGCCAATCGGAGGTGGGAGGTAGTGGTTTAACGCGCTGTGCTACGAACCTGGCGATCCGAATTTGATTCACGCTCACGGTCACCCAGTAACGATGATATGAACCGGTCCTGGGGCCTCCCCAAGGTCGACTCAGCCTCAAACACCGCCACTGTGTAGACAAAGGTGGCCATCTAGGCGCCGTGCCGACCACCCACACCCCTTCGTGTGCTGTGCCGGCATCCATAGGTGCTTGCTAGCTGGCGCTTGCCTCAACAGTCCGTTAAGACACACACGGGGAGGATCTTTCATTCTCTCTGATGTCGACGGTGGTAAGGGCCGGCATACCTGGGTTCGCTAGGGCAGGGGTTGCGAGTGCGGCCTTCGTCTGCAGGGGTGGAGGTTCGACGAGGAGGCGGACGAGGGGAGCGGCCGAGGAGTGGACGCGACAGATGGCGGTCCCGTGACATGACCCCTGACCCTCGACTCCGCTGTTTGGGTGGGGGCGACCAGAACGGCAACAAAGATGAGACGGAGGGCGTTGGAGAGGGTTGGAGTTGGAGGGCATCATGGGGGGTGGGGTGGGAGCAAGCCTGGGGGGGGGGGCGGGGTGTGGGGGGCATTCATGGTAATTGCGTGCACCCACTGGGCTTGTAATCATATTAAAATACTGATTGTCAAGCCTTCTCCCATAGGCCTTCTCTATTATTTAGCTTCAAGGCCTCACAGCTCCTCGACGTATGCAAAAATGCCGCCGGTTTTATGAAAGGAGCTGCAAATCAGACATCTGTTTACCCCTCGGGGGTGGAGGGGGGGCGGGTGCTTGTGTCAAAAGGTATTGTGCATGTGTTTTTGTAAGAAATGCGATTGTGGATATTGGCCATTGTGCATATTGAGCGGGCGGCGATCGGTATTGATGGACGCGCATCGGTCTCACTGGGGCTGCAGAGCTCTCTCGTCTGCCCGGGCTCGAAGCCCTCCCTCTCTGGGGCAAAGAAGCGTTTGGGTTGCAGTTCTATATGGAAATTGTCCCGCAGAGTAGGCAAAGACACCCACTATTACATTGTTGTTGAACTTGTTTACCGGCAAATCCTCAGCTCTTTTTTCAGGAGAGCCCTGCGCTAAGTTAGTTTTTTTTTTTTTCTCGCAGCCGGGGGTTGCTACGCATTTCTCAATTCAGTAACGCAGGGTGTGAATTTAGTTTTTTTTTTTAAATTGGCAAGTTTGGGGCCATGACGCCAGCAGTGCTCAGGTGGCCTCCTCTCCTTCAAACGACGTCACGGGATCTTTAACGCGAGACCCGAGGGTGCGTATCTGACGGCCAATGCACCTGCAGCAGCAGCAGCAGCAGCAACCGGGGGGGCGGCCCACCGGATTGGAACAATGAACCTTTTGCGGCGGGCGGTAGAGGCACTACCACGGGCGCGTCACCGACCAGAGCACCTCGGCCAAGATGAGGGCGCCGCCCTGCAGTTGCCTTCTCACGCCACTGCTGGTGGAAAGGTCTCGAGTAGAGGGAGCTCTGGAGAGCCCCTCTCAAGGAGAGTTTGGGCCCTACCAATCGACTAACTGTGGTGTTGTAATAATAATAATAACAGGGTTTTTTCCCTTTTTTCTGGCAACAAAACTGAAACTTTTTTACAAGGATTCATGTTACTGCATTAACCACAATACCTGCAGTCAAAATGCAAACAAAAACACCCTATGATAATATATGCATTGTCCTTGAAACTGATTGGTCCACACCAAAGAAAGCCGTCCCTTTTTGTGGACCAATCAGTTTCAAGGACAATGCATATATATAGTATATATCATAGTATGTGTTTATGTTTGCATTTTGACTGCAGGTATTGTGGTTAATGCAGACATGAATCCTTGTAAAAAAAGGTTTCAGTTTTGTTGCCAGAAAAAAGGGGAAAAACCCTATTATTATATTTTGGTACTGGCAAAGGAGGTCTAATGATAACTGTGGTGTTGTTTAACACGTTGGCTTTCGCGACCAATCCCGTCCATAATGCAGGTTTTTTTGGGTTAGATCGCATCAATACAGGGTGCTTCGAAAATATGTTTCCAGAATTTGCAACAATACCACGAGAAATGTGCCTCCAGGCTCTGGAGACCATTCCAGGGGCATGTGTTGACAATGATGATACATTTGTTATCAAATGTATATTAACCGTTCTTTTTCCATTAAAAACAATGGTCTCATACAAGGATGAACATTTTTTCGAAGCACCCTGTATATAAACGTCATTAAACCCGCCACCACCCGAGACAGCCAATTAGTAAAGGTTTGTCACTCGCATCGTCATGAAGCTAGTTGTAATTACTGGCGAAACGTCGTACTCAGATTGTAAATGTTGTGGATTTGCTCTCCAACACACCGGTTAGTGCTGTACTAGTGACGAATTGGCACGTTCTGTTTACGTGGCAAACCTTACTAACTGGCTGTGTCGGGTGGTGGCGGGTTTCACGACACATTTACGTGACCAAACCCAACAACCTCGATTATGGATATTGCTCGCGAAAGCCGACGTGTTGCTACGAAAGAAGTTCAACATACATGTATAACATGAGATCACTCGCATCGTTAATGATAATGTAGCTTGTTCATGTTGTTGTTGTTGTTGCTGTTCAAGGTGTGAATCGGCGGCCCGCCGACCTTCCCTGGGCCCTAGCCCCCCGGACGTGCACCTCCCGTTACCTGTGCCGGCTGCTGGATCCGGGGACGGGTGGATGTTGCTGTTGTTGGCTCGCGAGTCGGCGGTCGTTGTTTTTGTCGTCGTCGTTGTCGCTGTTGCGGCGGCGGCGGCTGCTGCTGTCACGACGGTGGTGACGGTGGCGGTGGCCGTGCTGTGGCGTCCGACGCCGGGCGTCGCCGTGCGGTGCTCTCCCTCCACTCGCACGTTCCCGTTGAGCCGGTCGCAAATGTCTTCTACCGACGCTGCGGCACGGCACGGCACGGGCGCACGCGCGGGGGAAGAGAAAAAAAAGAGAGAGATGAACGTCGCAGGTGAGCATGGACGATTCCCAAGCCGATTCTGGCAATGCCCAAAGCCGGCGACGCAGCGGTCGATGCCGCCGGCGGTAGGGGATCAAGCGGGGACGGCACTGGCGCGAGGCGTTTCCGCGCGGCCTCGAGTCGCCGTTGACCTTGTTGACCTTGGGGAGAAAGACTGAAGGTCAATTACAATTCTCTTCTTTTTATGGGTGCCCGAAAAACAGTTGTCTGTCGGGCACGGTGAGATCCACTCGCGTTATTTTGAGGACCCTCTGCATTATTCACCTCTGTTCTGCTGAACCGAATGGACGTGGCTGTTCATGAATTAAACAAAGCTGCTTGGTGACACTGCGTCGCCAGTGGTGCACATGCACGAATAACAAAGTCGCTCGACGCAGACCGTCAATAACACCGCGTCCGCTGAAGGAGCGCGGGCTCCATTGTTCCCAGATATAATTGTCATGAAATACCATGCACATTTGACCGATGTGACCTTTTCTTTAACAAATATGTTATTTTAAAAAAAATCCTCTTTGAGTTGCCCATTGTAACGCGATAAACACATACAATATATGCCGATTAGACACACGAGTTTTTAAAAAATATATATTTGTATAAAAAGATTTTTGATTTAAAGCTTTCGTGACTGCCGGGATTCATATTATTGGTTCTTTCGGTAAAAGAAGGGAAACAATAAAAGAATAAAAAAATATTTTTCTTTTATTTTATTGTTTCCCTTCTACGTTTCCCTTCTACGTGACATTACCGAAAGAACCAATAATATGTATAAAAAAGAGTTTGGCTGCAGACCACGGTCATAAGTGACACGGTGCACATTGTATATCTATTTCCGCGTTGCTTGAGAATTCACTGCGGAGTTCACACCAAGAGAGATTCGATTGTTATTTTTTTTAATTCTCAAGCGAAAAAGTGAATTCGTTTCCTCTGCAGGAAAAAAAAAACGAATGCGGAAACACTCCACCCAGGACGGTTAAATCCCCTCTCCCCCCTACTTCCTCACCAACCCCATCATCTTAGTGTGCAAATGCCCCCCCTGCTCCTTGCCTCCATGCCCCCCCCGCCCCGCAAACCCCCCCCCCCCATTAATAATGCATTAACTGCATTTTAATTTAGGCCTTGACAAATTCCCAGCGGACTCTAAAGCACAGCAGCAGAAGAAAAAAAAAATCCTAAAAAACAAATTGCCTGCGCCGTCATTCAACCGTGGCACTTATTCATTTGAAGCGTCTCCCAAGGAAGTGATTTTTCAGGACAGTTAGCGGTGCATCAGCACATTGTTGTGGGTGAGGGGTTTTCGATTGAAGCCCCCCCATCACTCCACCCCCCCCCCCCCACTTTATCTATGGGGAGCCGCCTTTGCCAGGGCGCCACGATGGCGAGATGTTAACTCCCTCGCCTGGTATACAGGAGGTTGTGGGTTCGATCTCAACCCTGACGCCAGTATATTTGGAGTTTGCATGTTCTCCCCGTGATTGCGTGGATATTTTTTTCTTTTTTTTTCTCTCCGGGTCCTTCGGTTTTCTCCTCCATATTTAGAATCAACAACAACGCGTGTTCAGAGTATATGGCTGCTATAAATACCCACGTGGTAAGCCACTTCGTTGAGCTATCATTTGTGGCCAAGTCGCTTCTGGCAAAGAGCTACGCAGCTCAGTGGGCCTTAGCTGTTAAAATAAAAAAAATAGTGCAGTAAATAATTTAGTTGAGGTGCCGCACGGCTGAGACTCGGAGCGGCCAGGGTTTTTGTTTTATATATATAAAGAAGAGATCTTAAAATTGGACGTTTTTGCAACTTGGCGTGTTAATTCAATACCCGGGCATAACCCTGATCACTCCCACCGCGCTCGGGCAGCGAGTTTTCCAGATTCCTGGAATTCCTCGGTTTGCCGAAGACGTACAATTGTTCAGATTGTTATGCAACTCACAAGGTTAGATTTGTCAGTTGCATAATCTCTGCAGCACCGTAATTGTCTTCCACACCCGATGGATAAAAACATTTTATGGGGCCATTTGCTTTCAGTGAAGTGGTTTTTATTTCATATCAAGCTCGATGCAATCACAATTTCTTTTGTTCGCGGAATTTTTGTAGGGACCCTCCGATGCGTTCTGTTTCTCGAAAGCCCTGTGGGGGGGGGGTGGGGTTAGGGCCAGGAGGGAATATCACCCTCAGGTCGTAGGTCATAGGTTGCAACGCGCTGACCTGACCCCACCCCACTCCGCGGTTAGTCGTCCCTCCCAGGGTCTCGGGTTAAATATAGACAGGAAGTTGGCACTATGAGGACGGCTCCTTCGCATTATCGCCCCCATATCCGAGCTGCGAGCATTCGCGCTGAACGTTAATTTACGAATAGACGGACAGAGCTGCCGACAGTGGCGTGATGGCGAGCGACCCCCCTCGGTTTCACCGCAGTTGTGTCGGTTCGGCGGGCCACGCGTGGTGGGGTAGAGTATGGGTACTCCACAATACAGGTGTTTTTTCTGGGGGGGGGGGGGGGGGTTAGGTCACCTGATGAAGCTAGTTGTAATTACTGGCGAAACGTCGTACTCGGATTGTAAATGTTTTGGCTTGTCTCTCCAACACAGCGGTGTTGCTGTACTAGTACATCGGGTTTAACGACACATTCATATATTTACGCGATATAAACCCCCCCCAAAAAAACCTGCATTATGGATGATATTTGGTCGCAAAAGCCTACGTGTTAGTGTGGGTACCACCGCCGCTTTCAAGACATCTTGCCAGCATGGGAGGGTCGGCTAAAATTTCCTCCCATGTCGAGGAGCTGTCTAGAATGTCCCTCCGGTGGAGTACCTTCCACCGGCAGTGGCATGAGCGTGTACTTGCAGTGCCGCGCCTGACGAATACGCGTATTCACACGTTAACGCAATCACAGGGCACGTTCTCAGGTGTCACGTGGTTTGCAAAGCGCCAAACGCAGAGAATGCGTCGAATGACCCAGAAATGTGAATCGCCGAGCCACTGTTAAAATTAGCCATTGTGCTGTGCGCTGCCGCGTTGGTTACTTTGATGAAGTTTCGTAAGCAAGCAGCAAATTAAGCCGCCGACGGCCCGTTATAATTCAGAACGTTAGGCAACGGCTAGCTCACGTAACGTGCTCCCACGCGAACCGTACTTGAGATTTTTTTTTATTATGAAACTTTTTTTTATCACTGAAGGATTCGTCTGTTAATCAACAGCTCCCTGTCAAGTAAACATGGAACGTTGCGCAGATATTGTGCCGATGTCGGTCCGACGTTGTGGCAACGTTGTGGCAACGTTGTTCCGACGTGCCAACTTTGGTCCAACGTTGTGCCAATGTTGTGCCGACGTTGGGCCAACGTTGTGCCGGCGTTATGGCAACGTTGTGGCAACGTTGTGCCGACGTTGTGCCGACGTTGTGCCAACATTGGTTCCATTGTTCTAACCGTATGCCGAAGTGGCCCCAAAGTTCGCATGTTTACTCGGGTGATAAATAGGTAATCGTTCATAATACGCATATTTAAAACTGTACGGTACATCGTTAACCGTAATTTTTTAAAATGTCATTCTTATCAGGTCCCCATAATGTAAAGCAGGGGCGTATTATCCAAGAGGCCACAGTAGGCACTGTGCCTAGGGTCTACGAAACTGAAGGGCGTAAGAGAAAATATTTTGACCTTTTTTTGTTTGTTTAACACGTAGGCTTTCGCGACCAATATTCTGGCGAATTGCCCGATGATGCTGGATGTAATTACCAGCGAAACGTCGCACTTAAAAATTGTAAATGTTGTGGATTCACTCTTCAACACACCGGTGGGCTAGAGTAGTGAATTCTTTTGTCTTTTGTCAACGTGCTGATTCGCCGTGTCGGGTGGTGGAGGGTTATGACACATTTCTAACTAACGCGATCTAACCCAAAAACCTTTACTATGAATGTTTTTATTTGTTTGCATGTATGTATGATAAAAAAAAAACATTTTAATTAATCTATTTATATAGCAAGGATAGGCACAGTGTATATACAAAGAGGCAGAGTAATGGCAATCGGTTTTTTTTTCATCATGTGAGAGAAATTAAACCCTGGAGATGAACTTTGAGAGATTTTCTTTCATTGCAAAATTAGCAAATAACATCTTCAAATGATGTTTTTCGCACAATCAAGCGGGTGACAGCGGCGGTGGTAGTAGTAGCATGGGGCCAGCAGTGCCAACTTGCTAAAGTTATCACTGAAGGCCCACGAAATAGAAGTGTCTAAGGGCCTACAAGAACCTTAATCCGGCCCTGGTGTAAAGTGGCAGTCCAACTCTTTATCCCAACTGCCTGTCTGGCAGCAGGCGTGACTCGCTTCGTCTCTACTTGTATTAAACGGAACAAACAATGCCGAGCGACGATTGCCCTCTCGGGCCCCCCTATAGTAGGAAGCCACTGGGAGCTATTCACTTTTAAATCAAGGTTTCACAACTCATTTAGAAAGAACTGCTTTTTGTGTTCAGTTTGTTGTTCCCTCCGGTGAGCACGGTTGGATACGTGTGGTGCGAAAGAAGTTCAATGCACATGCGGAGTCCATGGATCCTGGGCCTGAGCAAGTAATTGCAGGGCTGCACCTTTAACCATGTCATGGCACACGTGTTCATAAAGAGAAAACATTCGTATAAAAAACCCCACAAATATAGCAAGGATGTGTTATCGTCTGCTTATGTATGAATTTTATTGAACATCCTGACATCGGTATTATTGCCGGAAAGGGTAAAACGCCCGTTATTCGTTTTCATTCAGTTGTTAAAGTTTGCGCTCTGCACGGAGAAGGCAGCAGCTGGTCCCTCGATCGTGTCTCACATTCCCTGGTCTGTGCAGGACCTCCGATTGGCACTGTCGGCTACGTAACGGTGCGAAAGAAGTTTAACGCACAGTATTTCAGACTTGCCTTCCCATAAAATAAAAAAAA